TCCTTCTCCTCCTCCTCCTCCTCCTCCTCCTCCTCCTCCTCCTCCTCCTCCTCCTCCTCCTCCTCCTCTTCCTGCTCCCTCTATTCTCTGCGACTTCCCCCCCGCGGTCTCTGCAGTGTTTCGGCCCAGCGGCCGCCCCCCCCCACCTCGGCTCGCGGCCCACTGATGCAGCGCACCGTGGAGCTGTTGGTGGAGGCGGGCGGTGCTGTGCTCTACCAGGGTCTGCGAGCCGCGCTCTTCGAGCGGTTCGCGGGCCGCCCACTTCCTTTGACGGACCAGGAGGCCCCAGCGTTCGGGTCTTCTTGGCCGTCTCAGGCAGCGGAGCTTCTGCGGGGGCTGCTGTCTCGCGGGCCTGGCGGTCCGCTGTGCAAGCCCTTTCCTGGCTCGCTTTCGCGGTGCGCTGGGCGCGCCAACCCCAGCGCCCGAGAGGGCAGCTGCTCGGGCCTTGGCCTACGGCCCTGGCCCTCAAGCCGCCTTGCGCGGCAAGGCGGCGTCGGCCCTTCGGGCCTCGTCGCCGCTTCGGGGCTAATCCCCTCGGGTCGACCTCCGGGCCGCCCGCGCGGGCTCCCCCGCAACGTGCGCGCTGTCAGTTCTGCAGCGGGCCCGACGCGTGTCACGGTGATGGGTGCAAGAGCCTTGGAGCGCTGGTGACGATGGCCGCTGTGCCAGCGCTGCCAGAAGGCCCCGCGTGGCCCGAGCTGCATCCTTTCGAGCCACCGTCCGCGACGAGCTACGACAGGTGGCGGCTCGACGAGGGGGACCGCAGCTTCGCAGCAAAACCGCTGGCTCAGCGAGATGGTGGCGCGTTGCTCGCACTTCCCTCGGCCTTCCGCTCGGCTGCCGATCTGGCGGCCGCGGAGGCGGATGGCTTCCCTGGGCTGCTGGTTCCGTACTTGGTGCTGGACGTGCCTCTCCTCGGGGCAGCCTCTCGCGCCCTGGCCACCACGGCATCGGTCCTGGTGACCGACTTGGACGTGGACGTCAACGAGCTGGAGCTCGAGTCCTTGTCGCCGCTGCCCGCGGCCATTCCAGCCGATCTCGTCCCGTTCGCCACGGCGCGGACTCGGGACTAGTGGCCGCGCTGGTCCATGGTGAGGCTGCTCCGCGAGCAGTTCGCTTCGCTCCACGGAGCTCCACCTGCCGACGGCGAGGAGGACCTGCCAGGGGCCGAGCGGGCGACGCCGTATCACGCGGCGTCGGAGGGCGTCGGGGAACTCGGGTCCATCCCGGAGCCAGGGGCGGGAGGCGACGGCGAACGCGAGCCCGCGGCCCCAGCGGCGGCCCCTCCTCCGAGGCGCCCGGGGGTCTGCGCAGGGATCGCGGCCTCGCCCGCTCCAGCTGCGCAGCCGCGGGCTCCCAGGCGGGCAGGCGCAGCTCTGGGCGACGGCGCTCCTACGACCAGGACGGGGGTCGTGGCCGAGATGCGCGCGATGTTGGCGGCTCAGGCGGCCCTGCCGAGCCAAGCTCCGGCGCCGCCTCTGGCGGGGCCCCCGCAGGAAGCCGGGGTGCCCCGCTGCGACGCCCCTCGGCTGTTCGAGGACGAAGCCGCTTGCCTCGGGATCCCGCCGAGCGACCTGCAGAGCTTCGTGCCTCGGGCTCCTCCCGCCCCGCAGCGGGTACTCCCTCAGGCCAAGACGCGCACTCCCGCCTCCTCGCTGGTGGCAGCGCGGGGAGCTCCGCGACCCGCGGGCGCATCGGTCAAGGCTCCGCCTCTTCCGTGCACGGCGGCAGGCGGGCCGCCCCGGCTGGGGTTCCGCCCCCGCCGAGGGGGCCGCCGCGGGAGGGCCCTCGGACCCAGCTGCGACCACGCCCTCGACGTCGGACCTCGCACCGGCATGCCTGCTAGAGGCTCTCGCGCGCCAGCAGGCCCCTCCAGCGACGCCCCGCCCTCCGCTGGGCTCGCTCACCGAGCAAGCTCCGGCACAGCAGGGCCCCCCTCGGGCGGCGCGTCCGCGATGACTCAGATGCGGGGCATCGCGCGAGGTCGCGAGTGGCGTCGTGCGCTCGCTCAGCACGGGCCTCGCGTCAGCGAGCTGATGAAGGAGACCCTTGCCTGTGCGCTCGGGATTCGCTTGGAAGTCGTGGCGCCCATGGCTATGTTCCCGTATTTTCGGGAGCAGAGTCCCCTGGGCGGTCAGACGTCGACCCGCGAGCTGCTGACCCACTTCGCGTGGTTCTTGAGTGCCGCGTGATGGCGAGCCAGCGAAAAAGGAAACGCAGAGCGCGTCCAGACTCTGCTGTCGTGCCAGTGCATGTTCGCGGATCAGCTGGCGGGGGCTCGAGGCGGCGCGGTTCTTGACGGGCTCGGAGGGCCCGCCGACGCGCGTGACGCGCCAGCGCGCGGAACGGGGGGCTCACAGCCCATGCTCGCCGCCGGTGGACCCGCGCTGGCTATCGGCCCAGGGCGAGCACGTGAAGGAGCTGGCCCCCTTCCTGCCCCGCCAGGACTCGGAGCGGGCGGCGGCTCCGGAGGCGCCGGTCTCCGAGCCGAAGGCGGAGTTGGAAGCGAAGCCGAAGACAAAGGGGACGCCGCCGCCCTTGGCCAAGGCGGGCGCCGAACCACCGAGTTCGGTCGCAGAGGTTGGGGCGGGCGTCTCCAGCGAGGGCGCTGCGCCGCCGCAGGGGGAGGCGCGTCCCGCCGCCGCGACCAGGCCTCGGAGTCTCGGGCACCCTGCCGTTCCGCTGGCCATCTGCAGCCGCCAGGGGCGCTTGGGCCGGGAAAGGTCGCGAAGGAAAGAATGCGCGTATCCAGCGAGGGCGAAATGGGCGCGGTGGACGCATGTGGACGCAGCCACTGGGGCCTTCGGTGGAGCTCCCTGGGGGCCACGGAGCGTGTGCTGGGGTGTGCCGACATGGGCGCGGGACGCATGCGGACGCAGCCACGGGGCTTTCAGTGGAGCTCCCCCTGGGGCCACGAATCACGTGAGCGGTGTGCCGAAATAGGCACGGGGCGCATGTGGACGCAGCCAGTGGGGCCTTCGGTGGAGCTCCCAATGGAGCCACGAAGTGTGTGATGGTGTGCCGACGTGGGCGCCGGACGCATGTGGACGCAGCAAATGGGGCCTTCGGTGGGGCTCCCGATGGGACAACGTAACGTGTGAGGGTGTGCCGCTCCCGCTTCCCTGTGCTGCGCCCGAGATAGAAGGGGTCAGGATTTGGGCGGTTGGGTTGGGGTGAACATGTTGGGGTTAGGGTGTTCGGCTTAGGGCGTCGGGGTCAGGTTGTTATGATCAGGATTGGGGTTAGGAGGTTCGGGCCAGGGTTAGGGTTAGGGTTAGGGTTAGGGTTAGGGTGCTTGGATTTGGGTGTTCGGGTTCTGGTTCGGGTTACGGGGGCTCGTGTTTGGGTGTAAGGTTCAGGTTAGGATGGTAGGAATAGCGTCAGGGGATCTGGATTAGGGTGGTTAGGATTAGAGTGGTAGGTTTGGAGGGGTTGAGGTCATGGCTCGGGTACGGGTGTTAGGGTTTGGGCTCGGGAATTAGGATTAGGTTTAGGAGTTCAGGATTAGGGTGGTAGGGTTCGGATTCGGGTTTGGATTAGGGGATTTGGATTTGGGTGGGGCGAGGATGTTAGGGTTAGTGTCATGGAGGTTCGGCCTGGGGTGGTAGGGTTAGGGTTAGGGTGTCCGGGCAATGGTTATGGGTAGTGGGTTAGGGTTAAAGGGGTCGGGTTAGGGTTAGGCTTAGTGTTAGGCGGTTAGGGTTCGGGGGCTAGGGGTCTATATGGGGCTAGGGTTAGGATGGTAGGATTACGTTTCTGGTTGTGTCGAAAGTAAGGCTAGGGGGTTAGGGATAGAGTGTTAGGGTTAGGGTTTGTGAGTTCGGGGGTTCGACTTAGGGCCGTAGGTTTAGGTTTAGGTTTAGGGTTAGGGTGAGGCTTATGGTGGGTTGTGGTTAGGGGAGGGGTTAGGGGTCAGAGGGTAGGGGTTAGAGCTTAGGGTTAGGGTTAGAGTTCGAGCTAGGGTTTAGGTGTAGGGTTAAGGTGTTAGGCTTAGTGCATCAGGGTTTGGGTGTTAGGGTTCGGGTTCGGGGGTTAGGGTTGGGGTGGTAGGGTTAGGGCTAGGGTGTTCAGGTTAGGGCCAGGGTTCGGGGGGTCGGGCTAGGTTGGTAGGGTCAGGATCAGGGTTGGGGGTAAGGGGGGTTAGGGTTGGAGTGGTAGGTTTAGGGGGTAGGGTTAGGGGCAGGATCAGGGTTAGGGTGTTATGGTTCGGGAATTAGAGTTTGGGTCGGGGGGTTAGGGTGAGGGTTAGGTTCAGGGAGTCCGAATTAGGTTGTTCGGATTCGGAATCGGGTTTGGGGGGTTGGGTTTGGGTGGTAGGTTTCAGGCCAGGGTGATAGAGATAGTTTCAGTGGTTAGGGTCAGGGTGGTAGGGTTAGGGTTAAGGTGTCAGGGATAGGGGTTAGGGGGTTAGGATTTGGGTGGTAGTTTTTTAGGGTGGTCAGGGTTAGGGTTGTTAGGGACAGGGTTAGGGGGGTAGGGTTAGGGGTAGAGGGTTAGGTTTAGGGTTTGGGGGCTAGGATTCAGGGTGGCTGGGTAAGGATTCGGGCCAGGAGGTTAGGGCTCGGGTGGTATGGTGAGGGCTAGGGTCTCATGGTCAGTGTCATGGAGGCCCGGGTTAGGCTGGCAGCGTCAGGATTAGGGTGTTAGGGTAGGGGTTAGGGGTAGGGGGTTAGGGTTAGGGGGTCAGGTAAGGGTAAGGTTTAAGGTTAAGCGATTATGGTTCGGATTCGGGGATTGGGGCTGCTGGGGGTGAGGATTAGGATAGTAGGATTTGGCTGTGGGTTTGTCTAAAGTTAGGATTCGGGAGTTAGGGCTAGGGTGTTAGGGCTAGGGATGGGGAGTCAGGAGGTGCGGGTTGGGTAGTAAGGTTAGGTTCAAGGTTAGGGTGAGGGTTGTGAGGGGAGTTATGGGTTAGAGGTCAGGGGTTAGAGCTTAGGGTTTGGGTTAGGGTTAGGGCTCGATATTCGATTAGAGTTCGGTTTAGGGTTAGGGAGAGGGTGAGGGTGCGGGTGCGGGTGAGGGTAAGGGTTTGGGTGGGTGAGAGTTAGAGTGAGGGTTAGGGTGAGGGTTAGGAGTAGGGTTCGGGTGAGAGGTTTGGGACTAGGGATTATGGTTAGGGTTAGGGTGTTAAGGTTAGGGGGTTAGGATTTGGCGGTAGGGGTTCAGAGCTAGGGTTCCGGAGTAAAGGGTGGGAGGGGGGGGGGTCCGAATTTAGATTCCACAGAAGGGGATGGGGGGGTAGGTTCGACCCCCCCCCCCTTCTGAAAGGGGGGGTGGGTCCGCCGACGACGGACCGGGGAAAGGAGGGGAGGGGGTGGGGTTTTCCCGGGGGGGCATCCAGCGGCGCGCCTTCGATGATGAGGACGATGACGACGACGACACGCGGAGGGCAGAGGCAGGGACGGAAGGGGAAGGGCAGAGGAGGGAAACGAGGAAGGAGTGAGGGAGACGCGGGGCGCGGTCTCTTCAAAACGAGGACCCAGCACCACAGGATGGTTGAGTAAAAAACGCGACATCGGCCCTTTGGGGAGGAACGAAGAGCGGCATGAGCACAAACTTTCGGAGCTCCACGCGGATGTCCTGGATCGGCGCGGTGGGGGCCCAGGCGCTGATCCGAGAAACCCGCGCGGAACTCCGAAAGTTTACGTTTGCGCCGCTGTCCCTTCCCCGAGAGGCGCTGTACTCCATCGTGGAGCACGGGTGCCTCCTCGAGAGCCGGGATACGATGTCGGGGGAGCGCACCTTGGCCGACATGCCAGGCGTGTACGCGCACAAAGACGGCACGCACAGGAAGGCGGAGAGCTACATACGCTTCGTGCACCTGTGCGGGGACGGCGTGTTCTGGGCGGCGAAGCTGGAGCTGCTCGTGGACCGCCGGATGGCCAGGCCGCTGAGGTCAGCATCGTTGAATGTATCCCCATCCCCACCTGGCCATGGCATCTCAGCCCCGCCGGCCAGCTTACCCTCCCCAGCGGGGACAGGCCACGCGAAGCCCGAAGGAGCCTGCATGTAGTTATCCCCACCTGGGTGGGCAAGTCGGCCGGTGGTGCCGGCCAAGACCACGCCAGTGGGGATGCAAAGGGCACCTTCGAGGGCGCGAAGCTACTCGTGGTTCGCGGTTCAGCCCCACCTCGTCCGCCTCGTCCGCTGTGCCCTCGCGCCTGCGCTGCTCCTCATGGGGGCTGGGACGCGCGGCGAGGAGAGCCGCCCACCCCACGACGCCGAGGTCGGTTCACCAGTACCCGGCAGGGTGCGGACCGACCAGCGAGGGGGCGGCGCGAGAGCGCGGAGGGATTCGGGATCGCTTGGCCGATGCCCCTCAGGGTGCAGACCGATCAGTGGGTACACCCGTCGGCGGCGGTGAAGATCGCGGCCCTCTGGGTCTGCGGCCGCACGTCGGCGGAGATGCGCGGCGGGGACGCCGTGGCGGTGGAGTGGGACCCCCTCCTGGAGGCCAACCCGCGCGCCTGGCATGATGATGATTCAGGTGGTGGTGATGATGGTGATGGTGATGATGGTGATGGTGATGGTGATGGTGATGGTGATGGTGTTGCTGGTGGTGAGGATGGTGATGATGGTGACGCTGGTGGCACTGATGGCGATGGCAGCGGTGGTGGTCATGGTGATAGAAGTGGTGATGGCGATGGTGATGATGGAGACGTGTTTGTGATGACGGCGATGATGATGCTGCTGATGATGACGACGATGGCGATGACGATGACGATGTTGATGGTGGTGCTGATGATAGCGATGATGATGATGATGATGATGATGATGATGATGATGATGATGGTGATGGTGATGGTGATGGTGATGGTGATGGTGATGGTGATGGTGATGATGATGATGATGATGATGATGATGATGATGATGATAAGGATGATAAGGATGATAAGGATGATAAGGATGATAAGGATGATAAGGATGATGATGATGATGATGATGGTGATGATGATGATGATGATGATGATGATGATGATGATGATGATGATGATGATGCTATGTAGTCATGATGATGCTGATGATGCTGATGATGCCGATTATGATGGTGGTGATGATGATGGCGATGCTGATGGTGATGATGCTTGAGATGATGGTGACGATGGCGGCGGCCGGTCGGTGATGGTGTCGGATGATTATCGGTGATGTTTGGTTTGGCCGCGTGCAGAAGGGGATAGGTGGAGGGGGGAAGGCACGGCATCTACAAACAAGGCCCGCGCCTTCTAAGAAGCAGGGGTGCCTCTAACAACCCTTCCCCCTCCCCCCCTACCCCCCTCTCCGCGTGGCCGAAGGTGCTCGGTCCTCGGTCCTCGGTCCCCGATCCCTGTCGTCGGAGGCCAGCGATTATCAGCCCACGAGGCGCGGCCGCGCGCACGGTGCCTCCCTCGTCGACGTCCTTCGGTGCCCCCCTCTCGGCGCGTGGCCGGCTGACGCTGAGGCCAACCCGCACGCCGGGCAGCGGCTGCTGCGCCTGCAGGAGTCGGACGGGGCCAGGGCGAGGATAACGCCGTCCCAGGGCGTTCTCAGTTCTCGGAGCGTTCCGGAACGCTCCGAGAAGGCCGCGGCGCCCGAGATATTTTCCAGGGCCGCTGGATCGCAGAGATTCTCGATTTGTGGCCGCGCCGTTTGTTCCAACGCGCGGCCTCGCGACTTGAGGGGGGCGTCTCGGCCACCAGGACAAACGCCGCCTCGGGCGCAGAGTTCGCCGTGGGGTTGCCGCGGTGCCGTCCTCGTCTGCTTGGGCGCGGGACGCAGGGATTGCCGTGGGTTTGCCGTGGCGTTCGGCGTCGTTCGCTTGAGCTCGTTGAAGACAAACGGCGCGGCGAATTTTCCCGCCTCGCAGAGGGGCCCAGAGGTGGGCGGCGCCTCCCAGAGTGCACGGCAGTCCCTCGGCCTCGAAGCGGCCAGCCGGCCAGGATCCACTGCGGCCCCACGGCGCGGTGACAGTTCTCCTCGCCCGATGTTGCCCTCGTCCTGGCTGCGTCTGAAGGAGGAGCGGCCCGCGGGCCCGAGGCGGCCGCGCGCAGCCGCGCAGCTGCGGCCGCGGCGCCCACCAGCTGAGGGGTCGCCGCGGCGGCCCGGGTCCCTGCAGCCTCGGGCGACGGGGTTTGTGCCTGCCCCCGGGGGCCTGTAGAGAGGTTCTTCCCCCTATACCCTCCTCCCCCTCCCCCCCCTCCCGCTCCTCCTCCTCCTCCTCCTCCTCCTCCTCCTCCTCCTCCTCCTCCTCCTCCTCCTCCTCCTCCTCCTCCTCCTCCCCCTCCTCCCTCCTCTCGATTCCTTTTCCTTTAAAAATCTCCTCCTGACGCACCCCGATGCGTGTCGCTAGGGCGGGCCAGGCGTTTTGCATGAGACTTCCTCATCATGCATGATTATTAAGCTGAGAAGATGCGAGAGCTTCACGGCTCGAGGGCGGGCCGCTTCAAAATGCGATTATTGCCTAAAGATTCTAGCCGCTTCGCGGAACCCCACCAGCCCGTCCAGAAACGATGCCCAGACGAATTGTTTTGATCAGGGATGTGGAGGAGCATGCAGTGGAATACAGGACTAAATACGACTCGTCGTCATACCCGAAGACTGGGAGCATGGAGGAGGAATCGGAGGAGCAGGAGGAGGAGGAGGGAACGCGGATGAGGAAGAGGCGGAGGAGCAGGAGGAGAAGGAGGAGGAGGAGAAGGAGGAGGAGAAGGGCGAGCAGAAAGGCCAGAAGCCTCTTGGATGCCTCCGGGAGTCTCTTCGGATTTCTTTCCAGAGCTTCTTGGGGTCCTTTAAGGGTGTTTGGGGCGTCTCTTGGCAGACCTGCGGGGCATCTTGGGGCGTCTTGGGTGCATCTGGGGAGCCTCTTGGGGCCTCTGGGGAGCTTCTTGGGGGCATCTTGGGTGCCTCTTTTGGCGGCCTCTTGGGCCCACCTGGGCACCTCTCGGGGCAGTCTTGGGGCACCCCATCTTGCCATCTTGGGGCCATCTTGGAGGAGATCGATCAAAGGAGGGGCCGTAGTACATCAGGCCTCCCTCCAGAGACCAAAATGTGGCCAAACCCTTGGTCACATCAGTGATGTCGGCGACTGGGTGCGTCTTGGGGGGCCTCACTTGGTGCGTCTTTGCGCGTCTTGGGGGTCTCTTGGGAGCCCCTCGGGGGCATCTTGGGGGTCTCTTGGGCCCACCGCTTGGGGCCATCTTGGGGCACCCTTGGGATTTTCTGGGGCCATCTTGGGGACATCTTGGAGGAGATTGATCGAAGGAGGGGCCTCAGTGCATTAGTGTCCCTCCCCGTCCAGGTCCAGGGGGAGGGGGTAAGGGGAAGGGTCAAGACTCTAAACAACATCCCCGCTGGCAAGTTGTCTCGCTCACTCCCAGCTGGTCTCCCAGCACATAAGGAGCACCTGGGCCTCAGCATGTTCAGCGGTCGTCTATGGACGGGCAGCTACTGGAAACGAGTACAGACCCCATGTGCGCGGTGGGGCGAGGTGCGCCAACTCCAAAGTGAGCTGGGCGTTGCATGTGAGTGGGAACGAGCGTGCATCCGCGGTTGCTTGGCTCAAAGCGGCCGGCCGCCCAGATCTGACTACACCTCAACGCGAGGTGTACCATTTGCCATCGATACCAAAACTGCTTGAGATGGCTCGCCCCCTACTACTGGGACTACCGTTCTTACGGTACAACAAAGCGGCTGCTGGTTGGGCTTCCCAACCTTTTCCAAACTTGGTAGCGGAGCTGGCCAATGGTGGTCAGCCCTAATTCTACTCCTCACCATCCACGGCACTATCTGGTGGACTACTGACGTGGTGGAACATCAGGGTGCAGTGGGTTTACGCGGAGGAATGTATAAACCGACGCAGCATAGCGATGATACTTGCAGTGACGCCTCTGCATGCGCGGAGGCCTCTTACTTGCGCCCTACATCCCTGCTCGACTACACTCCTGAAGTCCACCCACCTACTCCAAGTAGAAGCTTCTTCGAATACATAATCCATGGACACATGCGATGCGACATTGCGCCGCCTCCACCACCACGCAGGCTTACGACCACATATCGCAAACCCAGCCGACTACATCCGACCACGACCTGCGAGGCCATTGGATTGGTATTTTGATTTTTGAGCTCGCATGGGTCGTCATCGGGAGTTTGATATTTATACTTCGAGCAGCGGCTCTGCAGCACAGCATGGCACGGGCGTTTGGACACCCCCACCGCTTGAAAATGAGCGACGGGGGCAGGCGCGTGCCACGGCCACCCGCGCTTGCTCCGACAGGCCGAACACGCAGGTTCTGTCATCTAGCGCCGGGAAACCTGCATTATTTTCTCAGGCGCCGGCTGTGCGCGTCAGGGACAGTGGCAAGCCCGTGTGCGCGGCTGCCACGGGCAGCAGTGGACCGGGATGTGTGGCCGCTGCAGCCAATGAACGTTCATCGCATCATTATCATTCTCGTGCACTTGTCATTGAGGACATACGGCCAGCTTGCGCTGAACTTCGAGCTCTCGGTTACATGTGTGACCGCATTGCGCATACAGAGGTTATGACCTCTACTGGCACGCAGTATTTGGGTGCTCTACTCTCGGGGAACTGTAAATTTTCGTGGGTGGCAACGCCCGCTGACTGGTACGTTAGGTTGCCTGAAAAGCGGGCAGGGCCACATTATCAACGCATCCAAAATTTAATGACAAAGGCTCGGGCGCTACGTATGTCTATTGTACTTGTGGGGCCGCCATGTTGTTTCTGGAAACAGGGCCCCATGCGAGATGCCATTGAAGATCTCGACTTGCAGGTCATGCGCATGCGATGCTGCCATTTCGGTTTGAAATACGACCGTGGAAGCAAGTTGCCTTGCGGATCACATCTGCAAGTGACAACTACCCTACACGCGCATCCCAACCAATTTGTGGAGATGTACGTGTCAAACTGCAGGGAAACCTGCCCAACTTGCTGAGCATGAATTGGACTGGCATGGCCAAGACGCTCAGAAGGCAGAATGGCGCAACAAAACATTGGCTATCATGACCGCGAGATTGATCGATCAAATGGACTTACACTAAACAAAGAGAAAACACGCGAGTGCTGCACACCTTAGCATTCACACACGAATGGATAAAAGGAGCTCGAACTTACGATCAGTCTCCGAAGAATGGCCCTGAATGGGACCATGCCGCAAGACGGGCAACGATGAACCTGGGCGACAATCTGACTATACAAGACATCGAGATCCAGGGCCAGCCTGCCGGGTACCATCACAATGCGCCGTTAACGAATGGCGCAACAAACATTCGTATTCGGCTTTACTGGGGACCGCCAGAACCGGCTCTCATCGGACAGGAGGACCCACGTCCACGCCCAAGGCGAGTTGCGTTCGTCGATGACGATCGCCCCCCTCCCCCTTAGATTGAGCGCGGCCGCGCGCCCCGCTCCATTCCCGAATGTCCGACGCCAAGTTCACCTGATATTGAGCCGCGGACAGCGCTACCTCCCGATGCCCGGATCAAAGAAAAGACTAACAGAAAGCCGACAAAGAAGCGGGCATCAAGCCACGCGAGATACCCGAGATAGTCGAAGAAGGCAACGACGCCTGCGGGGATGACCTTAAAGGTCTCGGACGTAGCGCGCACTACACCGACGTTCCCCTTGACTCCGACACGGGAAGTGATGATGAATTGCGGGGCTACCCGCTGAATCCTACGCAGATGTATGCTCCGTAATTCCAACGCTAGCTATGGACGACACAGCAAGGTTGACATGTTGGAACTGCGTGGAGGAAGTGGAGGTACATCGCAGCTAGCATTCAGCCGAGGCTTATCCTCTGGGGGAAACTTAGACAAAGGCTCCCACGTTGACCCTGGAAACAAGGATGTGCAGGATGCAGTGATGCACTACCTAGACGTGTGCTTCGTTAATGTTGTCATGCTACAACCCAACTGCAGAACGACTGGGCTACCTTCATATATCGACCCCCAAGACAATTCTGATACTTGGCATGAACACCACAAAGAAGATCTTCCACGTATCAAGTTCTGTGGTAAGGTTGCTATATGTCATAACCATATTCGACGGTTCTATTTTCGAGAACAACCAGCGGGTACTTGGGTGGATGAGAGACCACCATGGACTACATTGGCCAAATGCAAGGGCACTTGCAAGGCGAACATTGATCAATGCACTACCGGCTTACGCGATTCCCATGGGGTATTGATACAAAAACCGACCGAGATCATGGCCAACCACCGCTTTCTACTACACCTTTTGAACGAAGACGATGTGTTGGTCATCATGAACATGCGTCGGTCCGTATCAGGGAACTGTCCATGGCTGCACATTATACTCCAAAGATGCAGTCTCCTTTTGTCGACGCAGTTCAGATCGCACAAGATCTTCTCCAGTTAAACCGCGATCCCTTCCATGGTCACCCCGTGCTAGTCACCGACGTGAGGGGATATGATTTGGACGATCCAAGTATCCCTCGGCAACCCGACGGTTCGATCACGAGACCGCCTCCGGGAGGCTTAGGATGTCC